GCTGTTCCAAGGTCTGGAACAGATGCAGAACTCCATGTTCTGCAGGACAGCAGGAGTTAGAAAAGCTGTAGTAGTACTATCTGAATGTCCTCCTACACCCTCAGCTGCTCCCAGGCTTTACTGTACCTTCGTATTCCACCCTATCTGCCATAGATAGGGAATTACGGGAGCAAACACTGTCTTCTTTTCTGCAGAGGCCAAGGCAATAATCCTGACTGTTACCTCCATGCTACTGTAATGCGAATCATAAGAGACTGTATTTGTTTTCAAATGCAGTCACCTGGTAGACTTGTCATCATCCCAGTTTCCAGCATCGCAGTATTCATGCTGTCTGGAGAGAAGGCTTACTAAGTTGATTAACTAAATTATTCTCCCTCCAGAAAATACGCAGCCATTTCCTCTTCGGAGCAACGTCAGAGTTACAAAAATGACTTCAATGCAGAATACAACGAGTACAGAGACTTGCACGCTCGGATAGAGAGGATAACTCGACGGTTTACGCAGTTAGATGCCAAGCTGAAGCAACTTTTGCAGGGCTCTGAAGAATATAAGGTAGAAACAGATCTCTCAAAAAGCTATTTCTGCAAGTGGCGATGCTGTGGCTCGTTCTAGCTACACTATATGCAGGGCTGTTGGGGATGGGTTGGTGTCTAAAACGTACTGCCCAGAGCCCCGAACTGGTGGATTCAGAACGTGCACACAGCTGACAGCTTTGTAGACTGTTCTTAAAACAGCTCTGTGTTCTTTCGTTTTCAAGCTGGAGCACACATCATGGTACTTGTTGACAAGGAAAGGCCTCAGTGAGACAATTGGTGTCTTTAGCCAAAAGCTGCTGGAAGCTATTAGTGTATCCCAGCCAGAAAATTCATATTCGCACATATGGTCGTGTATCGGGGCTGGAAGGGGAGTTATTACGGGGTCATCTGTTTCTCTGGAATCTTTGATCTTAATAATGTAGCATTATTTGACTTGTCAGACTGATTTTAAAAGAGCTTTAACTATTCATTATCTTGAGAAAGTAAGTCTCACTGAGTATAATAAACAGACTTCTACAGAGCACCTATTGTACTGAGCGCTGCTTCCTCCCTCAAACACCCTTCCCCTCTCTCTGAGAAATTCAGTGATTCCTCACTGAATTATTTTTATATCTTGGGGAAAAATTAGTCTGAGCTGTGGAGGAAATGCCAATTATCCTGCCAACCCAAGTGCCTGTTACAGGTAGTTCTTATGGCTGGGGGATGGGGCCTGATCCTTCCAGCGCTGCTGGTGTCAGCACCAGTGCAGTCCCAGAGTCAGTCAGGCTGGTCGTAGCCATCAGATCTCACGGGGGAGGTCGTGGCAGGAGTAGATTTTGGTCAGTATTTGGAGGAAATGTGTACGTGGAGCCATCAGTGAATGCTTGCCTGTGCAGTAGGTTGCAGGACTGTTGGCTCTTTTGGAAATAATAAGCTATCTTTTCCTTTTTAGACCATCCATGATCAAATTTTACAGGAATATCGGAAAATTAAAAAGGTAAGTAAAAATTACCAGCCACAGAAAAAGGCTTTTGGGTGGTGCCCCTAGTGACTGAAAGAGATGGGTGCTTGCCAAGTGAAAAACCCAGTCTCTGAAGCTTTCTAGCAGATCTTTGTTCAGCACGAGCTTGTCCAAAAAGCGATCCCTTCCTGGGTCAGAGAAGGGTTTGTGGGGAGTCGAGGCTGCTCCCCTGGATCCTGGGATCAGCCGTGTTGGTGGCATGCTCGCACAAGAAACAAAAGTGCTCGAGTAGTGCCTCTATCCCGTCAAGTGCAAGAAGAACAGTTTGTATGTCAGATGCACAGGCTGAGTGGTAACAGGATCAGGTCTTGGGGTCTGCTGGCATACGGGGTGCGATTTGAGGCTGGTCTCCAGTATGAATCCTGTGGGTACATAGTCCCCTGGGGGGCTCAGCATGGCTTTTTGGTGTGGGAGGCACATGGAATACTTTACATCTCTGTCTGTGTATGTAAAGCAACAGTTGTCGACTGGAGGGATTTATGATTTGGCTGGATGAGGTAGAAATACTGAGGCAGGCTGGGGCATCCATACACCAGGGCTGGGACTTGTTGGTTTGGGGTTGGTTTTTTTAAAATCTATGAATATGGCCCTGAGCTCTGCTGTCCCCGAGGGATTTCAGAGCTTTTTGAAGAGGTTCCCTGTGTGTTGCAAGTTCATCTTTGTTTTAAAGCTCCCAGACTTGCACAATTCAGTGCTAACTTGGGGCTAAAGGGCAGGTGATGCTTGCTGGAAGCTAACGGCGGTGGCCCAGCTGCTCCTCGTTAGGCTGAGCCTCCCTCAAGGTGCGTGAGGCTGTGATGAGGCTCCTGGAGCTGGGTGTTGATGAAAAGGGATTTTGGCCTTTGCCTTGTTTGGACAGAGTAGGTCCATTTTAAATGGGTATCTCCTCCTCCAGCCAGAAAAGCTTCATTCCTTGGTCATTTATTTATGCCCTGAGATCCGATAGCCTCGTCTGGGTTCAGCGTAGGTGTCGCTGGGTTCTGCAGAATTGCCTTCCGTCACTGCATTTTCATTTCTCTCCACAGACTAACCCCAATTACAGCCAAGAGAAGAACCGCTGCGAATACCTCCACAACAAACTGGCTCATATTAAAAAACTGATAGCAGAGTATGACCAACAGCAGTTTTAGCTGGCGCTAATCTGGACTGGGTAGGGCAGAAAAAAGTCACCTGGACGTTACGTTCCCTTTTATACAACTAGATTCCTTTCAGAGACGAGCATTAATTCCTCGTGGTTGAAGAACTTGGGGATTACTTACGATGCCGAATCTGTCGTGTCTGTGTCTGAGCCGGGTCGCAAGCCCAGCGCCCGGCACGGTCCTCTCGAGTTTTTAAGCCTCTCTGAATGTTGGAATGTAACAAATGGGAAAAAAAAAAAAAAAAAAAAAAATCTGCTTATTTGAAGCCAGCATTTGACACTTAAGGGAAAACTTGCCTAAAGTGAACGAAGCTCCCAAAGGTTAAGAATCAGTAGTTTTCATGGATTAAAGTTTGGCATGAAGTGTAATTACCCCTGGCCCAGGTCCACTGGGTTACAAATTGTCCTTCAAATGGTGAGGAACTGGAATGCTGCTAGGTTACCTCCTTCTCTGGCACCTGCGACTGTTCATATGCAAGCTGTCTGCTCTACATGGCACCGCGTTAAATACACCAAGTACCCAGAGCTCTCGTTGTTTGTTCCTGCTTTTGTCATCTCCGGTGTGTGCTCTCTTGAGGTGGTTGTGTCAGTAGGCGGGGATCAGCCCGGGGATCTGCACTGAGTGCCTTGTGCAGTGCAGCAGTGGATCCTTCATGGAGGAAAAAAAAAAAAATTTTTTTTTTTAATCCGCTTGTGCGTTTGGAAGCAGCGGGCGTAAGCGCTTTGCAGTGGCTTCTCCAGCATGCGCGGTCCAGTCTGCCTGCATTAACCTTCATGTACCAGTGCTGGGAAGATTGAGACCTGTCTGTCTTTTGACTTTTATAATTTTATACCAAGGCAGCCAATTTTATTAATTGCTAACGAGACTATGGTCTATTTTTGTATAAGAGAAAAAAAAAAAGCATCTTTTTCTAAAACTGTGCCTCCCTTTTCCTTTTAGGCCAAGTGTTTCAGAACTTTCCCTGTCTTACAACTGCAGTATTACTAAAGCTTATCGGCTAGTTACCCCGAGGAGTTACTTTATTACCTGTACTGACCCATGGGGGGTGGGAGGGGGGGATGCGATGCTTTCTTCTGGTTTTTGTGTCTTTCCAAAGAAGCAGCAGCAGCAAATCGGTCTCAGAACAGGCGCCCGAGCGTGAGAGAAGCAAGGTAGCGTTTTCCCATGCGGGTCACTTCCACTGTTGTGCTTTATCTAGCCAGCTTCTCCGTGCAGTCTTTCTTCTTGATTTTTTTTTTTTTTGTTTGTTTGGTTCGTTTTGTTTTTGGACTTGAAGGGAACATTTTTTTTTTAGAGTATGGCCAGGGTGTGAGAAACACGCCAAAAAGCACAAAGGTGTCCTTTAACTCTGCTATTTCTTTCTCTCCCCTCTCCCCTTTTAATCCTGCCAGCCTGTGTGATTTGACTTCTTCCCGCTTCCGTTTATCTCAAAGTAAAGGATTGCTTTCCTGTGGCGGCTCCTTCCCTTGGAGGTTGCACTGAAGAGTCTTTCACCCTTTGAAGGAGCGGAATGGCAGAGTTAAGGAGGGAAACAGTTCTTACACAAAGAGTATTTTATTCCCCCCCCCCCCCCCCCAAAAAAAAAGTGGGTCCATCTGCTGTATTAAAAAAAGAAAAATAATAATAATTCCATTCTGGCTCGATTGGCTTTGCTGCGTTGCCCAGCCAGGGCCAACACCACTTTGCTTTGTCACTTGCAACGTTCTGAGTTTCCCTCCCTGCCGCGTTGCGTCCGGCGCTCACCAGGACTTTGCCATCCCCGTTCTCCAAAAGCCTCCCTCCGGCTGAAGGGACGCGGCTGAGCTGCGCGTCGCTGGCCCGGCGACCCTCCGGCCGTGGTCCGCCGACCCCCACTGACCAGCCACCCCTTT